AGCAATAAATGCGATGAGAGGACACGTGTCAGTAATCCAACGGCCGAAGGGGCACATCAACCGGTTGGCACCGACAGTGGTACGTTTACCGCATTGAATGCGGTTGGCGGATGTGACGTGGCATTAAATGCGGTGGTTGGCTGTCTCTAAAAGGAATCTTCGATGATTGAGCTAGTTCAGCCGAAGACTCCTGGTGTAGCCGAAGGCTCCTGGTGTAGCCGAGGGCTCCATGTGGTGAGGACCCTTGTACGGTCGAAGGTCCCGTGTGACCGAAGGCGTAACAATGCCGAGGGCGTAACAATGCCGAAGGCGTAACAATGCCGAAGGCTCATGTTTTCGCCCGTTTTCTCCCAGTAGCTTCCTATGCCAAAAAGGCTATCCTGTGTGTTCCAGAGCCTTCGGCCAAGGAGGCCGAAGGCGTCCCAGAGTGTACTCTGAGCTACTTTGAGGCTCGGGCCGTTGTATTTGGGCCTGAGTTGTTTCCTGGGCTTAATGGACTTGCGTAGGAGAAGTAGGAGTCTATGGGCCGGGGGTTCCTGGGCCATATACTCCATCAGTTCTTGTTTCGAGAGCCATAGCTGTTGGCTCTTCAGGTTCGCTAGAATAAGAGCTAGCGCTTGATGAATCTCTCGAGTCAGTAGTTGAGAATTTGTTTTTCAACCGCTCGAGGGCTTGTTCTATTTCGGGGTTTGATTGGTAGGTGATTTCGTTCAGTGAACGATATTTTACCATATACTTTACAAAGCTCAGAAATAAAATAAGAACTCTTTATAATTTTTTTTTTATTTTTCTTGAAATAAAATAAAAAGAAAAATAATTGCCAATCCCCGGCAACGGCGCCAAATTTGACGTGCACTTTGTCGTGATGTGCACTCAAAATAATAATACAATACAACACTTATACGTAGTATAGCATAGTAAGGTTCGTATCCGCGGGGAAAGGAATACTTCTCTTTTTATAACTAGTAATAAAGGGGGGTTTTAGATCTGTTGTTGAAGAACTTTTTAGAATATTTAAACACAAAGATGAACGAGTTATGTAGTTTAATTAATGAGAAGAAGACTTGGTTTTGCTTTTATCCACTTAATGAAATGTTCATCGATCCCGGTTTTATCTTTAACTATCTTCCTCTCGAATACTCAATCGAGGAGTATATCCAGTTCATCGAGGGTAGTTATTAATAACGAGAAGCGTTCATTAATAAAACTTACTACCGAGTCAATATAGAACAAGCGCCGTATATTAACTTGATAGTAGCAATAAAATCAAGATGAAAACGATTGAGATTGATAACCTCAACACAAGCGGTTTATTGGTTTAATCAATATAATTAATTCCCCTTGGCTTGTTAACCATGAGAAGCATGTATTAACAACCCAAGTTTACTACCGTGAAGGACCGAATTAATAACAATCGTATTAACCGACCGATTCTAGTAATAACTAATATACAGAACAAGACTAGTTGATACTTTAAGTAATGCTCAATATATTAATATGGGATAAGAATAGGAAGTAATTAATATTCAAGGAAGAAGATTAAAGAAAGTAACTCACAACTTACAAATCATTAAGCTTCAAAGTAGCAAAACCAAGATGGAAGAGTTTAGCTCCTCATTTGGAGACTAAACATGATAAAAATTTAAAGAAAGTACTTAACTAAACTGAGCTAAAGAGTATATGTGAATTGGTGCCTTTTTTGTGAAGGAAAGGAGGTGTATTTATAGGCTTTTTGGGGTGCAGGTCGGATACTCGATCGAGTATATATATGTACTCGATCGAGTATGTGTAGAAAGCTGAATTCGATCCATACTCGATCGAATTTTAGAGTAGAATTCATAGCCATACCCGATCGAGTATGTCGGTGTACTCGATTGGGTATAGACATTCGATCGTGGGGAAATCTTCTTCTGCATGTTCCTTTGTTTTCGGATCCGATCCGATTTGAAATTTCAACCAGATACTCGATCGAGTATAAGAGATACTCGACCGAGTATAGACAAAAATCAGGATTTCCTTCTTTTGTCTTGTGATTTTGCACCTTCATTCCATTTTTGGGGTTCACCAACTGTCCTTGAGTGATGTTAGACCTGTTTGAGCTCAGAATAAACCTAATCTAAACAATTTACAAGAATTTAACAAACTAAACTATTACACCGAAAGTGTGTAATTTCCGAAATACTAAACAACCAAAAGTAACTAAAAATGTAAATAAACACACGGAAATTACAAACGTATCAACTTCCCAGGGGGTCACCCATCCCAAGATTACTCCCGTGCATGCACGCTTAACTTTGGAGTTCTTGGCTAATGAGCTCCCTTAAAAGGAGATGCATCTTGTTGGTATGAGTAGTACTATTAATCCGTTTTTATTAAATCTCAAATGTTACAATCACCCCCACTTAGGAACGCAACTTTCTCGTTGCGCCCATAAACCAATCTCAAATCTTAATCAAATCCCAGAATCTTCCCCCGCTAAGTGCTCCCCCGATATCCAACGGGCCATCACACTGTCGCGGGGTTGCTCTGATACCACCTGTAACACCTCGGCCCCGCAGGACCCGAGGTAGTTACTCCAGACCACTAGTACTATCCTCACAAACCGCCACTAGCCCTTTAGGCGCACTTTGTCCTCACTCGTGCGTGCCCTGAGAAACTTCCCAGGGGGTCACCCATCCCAAGACTACTCCCGTGCAAGCACGCTTAACTTTGGAGTTCTTGGCTAATGAGCTCCCTTAAAAGGAGATGCATCTTGTTGGTATGAGTAGTACTATTAATCCGTTTATATTAAATCTCAAGTGTTACACCTTTTTCCCAGATGTCGGGGGCCTAGAGAAGACCATCACGTCCGAGGGCTATAAGACGAGCATTTATCACCCAGTGGCCGAGGGTCTTGAGAAGAGCATCACGGCCGACAGCCGTAAGACGAGCATCTTTCACCCAGAGGCCGAGGGCCTAGAGAAGACCTTCATGGCCAAGGGCCAAGAGACGAGCATCTTTTTCCCAGAGACCGAGGGCCTAAAGAAGACCATCACGGCCGAGGGCCGTGAGACGGGAATCTTTCACTCAGAGGCCGAGGGCCTAGAGAAGAACTTCACGGCCAAGAGCTGAGAGACGAGCATCGTTTACCCAGAGACTGAGGGCCTAGAGAAGACCATCACGGTCGGGGGCTGTGAGACGAGCATCTTTCACCAAGAGGACGAGGGCCCAGAGGCAACCATCACATACGAGGGCCGTGAGACGAACATCTTCCACCAGGAGGCCGAGGGCCGGGAGACAAGCATCACGGTCGTTGACCGTGGACGAGGGTGACTCAAGAATGTATGGGGATTCCGAATCTGACCATTGACCGTGGAAAAGGATGACTCAAGAATGATTGGGGGTTCCGGATCCGGTCATTGACCGCGGACGAGGATGATTCATGAGTGTTTGGGGATTCCGGATCCGGTCGTTAACCGTGGACGAGGATGACTCAAGAGTTGTTAGTTGGGGGTTCCGGATCTGATCATTGATCGTGGACGAGGATGACCCCCAAACCATTGAGGATTCCTGATCCGGTCATCGACCGTGGACGATGATGATTGTCAGAAAAATTTTCCGACATCATTTTCAGGTGCTTAGTGACCCGATAATGCCCAGGCCACCACCCTCCTATCACTGTGTGCCCCACTTCTCTTTTACCTTTGCCTCGCCGGTCCCACCTCTACCTTTCCGGTCCCGCCCCTCTTCCAGCACTGCCTCAAAGCCTACTAGCCTCTCCCCTGCCTTGCCGACAGTCGCTAGCGCCACCTCAGTCCCTCAGCCGTAATCCCTCTTTGCAATTCAATTTTTCTCCAACATTGCACCTTGCCCCCATCTTCAGATCTAAGGTTTCATGGTGATTTGAGGGTTCAATTTTGCAATCCGAAACCTTAGCAATCAGGGGCAATGATGCCGGCCACGATGGAGCAGTCGAGCAGATGCGAAGAAGAAAGACGAAGTGGTGCAGTGAGAGAAAGATCATCTTCTTTGTTGCAGCAGGGGAGGTCTGCACAATTTCTCAGCAAAGCTCGTCACTGCCTGAGGCTCGCTACCATGGTGACGGCCTGAGAAAATGTTTGCTTGCGGTGGCGTAAACTTGGTCGATGGTCTTTGGAGTGCAGAAGGAAAAATGGAAGCATAAAGCTTGTAACGTCTAAGAAGCTCTTTCCTAGTCGTGGGTGTTTAATGCACCAAACTCCCCTGTGATTTGGAAATTCGGCGCATTAGCCCCCTGTAATTTAAAAAATGCGTCAAACCCCCCTGTGTTTTAATTAATCATGCGCCAAATCCCTTATGTGAACAAATTCATTTGTCAAATAAAAGAAAAACGATTAACATTTTTGTATGATTCAGAGATTTTGACATATTTATTTGCATATTCAATCAAAATATTAGGAATAGTGATTTTCAAATCGTTAAATTTATTCATAAAGGGGGTTCTGTGCATGATTAATTAAAACACAAGGGAGTTTGACGCATTTTTTAAATCACAAGGGGCTAATGCGCCGAATTTCCAAATCACAAGAGGGTTTGGTGCATTAAATCCGTGACCTTGGAGTGCAGATTGAAAAACGGATGAGAAAACCGCTGCGATGGAGTTGGCCGTTTTTTTTTGTCTAGAATCATTTTAGTCATAGTTTTGTGCCATTACTTCAATTTACATTGTTCAATCAATTTTAGTTTTATCTAATGCATTTTAAAAATTGATACATCCATTACTAAATGTCAAATTAAAATATCTTTCAACCTTTAAAACTTTATTATCTTTCTTTTTAAGACGTCCTAAATAATTTGCATTTTTCTTTTTAATCAACTGAGACATTTCTCACCGAAAAAGAGGAAATAGAAATTCAAAGGGGTCCTAAGCTAATTGAATGTGTACGTAGCACCTTCGACAGCTAAGCTAGATACGACATCATTCTAGCACAACTACAGCATGTACATAAAGCTACTGCGAGTTCCGATCTATATAACGCTTGCTCCAATCTCTCAATTTCCAGTCCATAACCCCCGCCCTGGCCATAATTCAAGTAGTGAGTGGTAGTCAGTCTTCTGTAGCCTAGCTAGCTAGCTTAAATCCTCTGCTCCGTGTGGGGAATATAATGTCATCCTCTGCAAAACACTTGTCGTCTTCGGCCTTCTGGTGGAGCAGCAGTAAACATCATCAGATACTACACCATGAGGAGGAGCTGGAGCAGGACACAGTGGAATGCTCCTCCTCCTCCAAGCAGCTTTCCGATAACTGCGGTGTCGTCCCCAAGGACCACTTGTTCGAGAAGCCTTTGACTCCCAGCGACGTCGGAAAGCTCAACCGCTTGGTCATCCCCAAACAGAACGCCGAAAAATACTTCCCCTTGACCGGCAAAGATTCCTCCACCGCCGCCGCCGATAAAGGCTTGTTGCTCACCTTTGAGGACGACTCCGGCAAGCTCTGGCGTTTCAGGTACGTACGTACGTAGTTCATTCAATATATATACAAGCTGATCGAGTATTTTATTTGTTCAATTATACTCACTCCGATCCAATATACTTCCTCCGTTCTTAAATAAATGCAACGGTCAACATTTCACACTTGTCGAGACACAACTTTGACCATTAATATAAATGATTTTGTATTAGTAAAAAAATTTAAAAAATTAGATTATGAAAATTTACAATGAGACAAGTTTAACAATATTTTTTCATAAAATAATATTATTACATTAATAAATAAAACATAGTCAAAGTTGAATATGTGAATAGTGTAAAAGTCAAAGTGTTGCATTTATTTAAGAACGGAGGTAGTATGTATAGGTATATAATGTTCAATTTTATTATAATTATAGGTACTCATACTGGAACAGTAGTCAAAGCTACGTGCTGACGAAAGGGTGGAGCAGGTTCGTGAAGGAGAAGCGGCTGGACGCCGGAGACGTGGTGCTGTTCTTGCGCCACCGTCTTGACGGCGACCGGTTCTTTATCGGGTGGAGGAGGAGAAGCGGAAGTGCCGGTGCTACGGCAGCTGCTGCAGGTGTTAAGGAACAAGGGATGGGTACAGTTGTCGGAGGTGGGTGGGGCCAAGGTTACTATCCTTATCAGCTGCCGGCAGATCTTCCATACCACCCGGACTACTTTCATCATGTCGCTGCAGGTACGTATAAAATTTACAAATAATGGCAGGTGTACCCCATTTTGCGTATCCATTAACATATACTGTCTCTTTACGCCGACAGAGTTGTTTATATATTTACAATTTTGTAGTTCCGAACAGAGTTATCTGTATACAAAGAATTTTATCTGTATTGTATGTGTACGAATGGGTACACAAAATGGGGCCGGGTACCCCTAGCATTTCTGTAAAATTTACGGAGCACTCCTCAAACATTTACACATTTCAAAATTTAGTACACGCATAAAGTTTATGGCGTATGGAGTACTTCCTCCGTTCTCAAATAAATGTAATGGTCAACATTTCACACTTGCCGAGACACAACATTGACCATTAATATAAATGATTTTGTATTAGTAAAAAATTAAAAAAATTAGATTATGAAAATGTACAATGAGACAAGTTTAACAATATTTTTTTTCATAAAATAATATTATTACATTAATAAATAAAACGTAGTCAAAGTAGATAATGTTAATAATGTCAAAGTCAAAGTGTTGCATTTATTTAAGGACGGAGGTAGCATCATATAACATCAGTTACATGCGGAGTATTAGACATTAACATTTCATGCTTTGCATATTAATTATGTGCACACCATCGATCGTTAAGATGAGAACGAACCTATCAAGGTAGCTAGCTATTTTGACAACACATATCGTGTCTTTGAAAAAGAAATTCGCCCTTGCGATTTAATTTCTGTTTGATAATGAATGCTATGAAATGAAATATGCAGGGTCATCATCTACTACAGAATGCCAAACACCATCAAGTGGGAACTCAAAGACGCTAAGGTTGTTTGGGGTCAACATGGAGTGCGGCCAAGCTGCTGAGTCGGTCACGCCAGATGGTTCGACCACGGCTCAGACCGGCCATCACTACTTATACCAATATTATTCCAACCCTATTGCTTCCTACAACAACCACTACACTCACATGGTATGTATATTCCTTGAGCCCCACATTCTATCTGTACAACGAGAGGAAAATTCATTGTTTAATTTAGTTTCACTCCTGCCGCAGATTATACTACCTATATATTTGAATAAATGCGGCATAAAATGCGGCCAACCATGCTTGTCCCAATCCGCAATCTTGATCCAACTGTTCACAATTTTTTTTGAATGTGGTCAATGCTAGCATTTTATACTCTCCGTCCGAAAAAGTTTATCAAATTGACTCTATTCTTTAACAAGAAATTATTTTTAATAAGAAAGTTATAGTAAAATGTCCCGTATTAAAAATATTTTCAAAATAGTATAAAGTTTATAAATTATATATAAATATAATAATACTCCCTCCGTTCTCTAACACGTGTCCTTCTTTCCATTTTGGGTTGTTTTCTAATATTTGCCCTTCCTATTTTTGGAAAGTTTTTTCAATAAATATACTCATTTACCCTCATTCTTTTTCCTACTTTTTTATTCTTTTTTCTACTTTTTATTTAAACACAACCCACTACACCTTTTACACTATCCATATTATTTTCCTCTTAAAACTTGTGTCAAACCTATAGGGCCAACTAATGGAGAACAGAGGGAGTATGTCAAACATTTTTAGTACTTTGACGGATAATGTACATTCTGCTTCTCTTATTACTTTTTCGTTAAAGATGTGGACTTTGACGAATAATGTATTTCTATTACATAGTATTTATACTATGGAATGAATATAAAAATGTTCTTTATTAAAAATACAAATATAAAAGCATAAAAATTAAAGTTTTAACTTAAATATAAGTATTAAAATGATCATTCCAAATATATAATTATTAACTAGAAAAGTCAATAATGGTTAACAAAAATGAGGTATGATATAATAGCAAAAGTTGTATAGAAATTGCACTCTGTCTTTTTTTCTTTTCGAAAAATCTATTTGTACTCACGTTAAGAAGAAAGAGCATTTTTCTCCCAATTGGGTGTTTACAAAAAAAAAGCTCTTTTCTTTTTGGTACTACCTTAGAGGCTTAGACTAGAATGAATCAAACAAAAAGTACGTGGTACAATTTAGTAAAGAAAGAATGCGGCTCACAGTGTGAGTGGGAGGAGTCTATGTTGAACAGTCCGATCCCCACTTGATTTTCCTGCTTCCTTTAATGAGGCAGATACATACAAAATAAATACAGCTGCCATTATATGCACACAACAGTAATTTAATTTCTTGTATTTAACAATCAAAATTTCTTAAGAATAAAAAAATACTCCGATCCGTATATTAGTCTCCACTATACATAGTACATACTACAATTTACGTACAAAGTTACCCTGGAATTTGAGAAAAGCAACGAAAACAAGTTATCTTCAAAACGTGAGTTGTGCATATATCAGTAATTTCTGTAACCATTTATTATTATGTAATACGGAGTACTCCCTATTATACTTACATATAGAGCATACGTGTAGTAGCACGTAAATAGGACATTATTAATTGTATTTTTTTTAATCATCAAACCCTGTTTTTAGGCCTATATTACGTTCTCACATTTGGATGTTGTAGTTTTATTTAAATATTTCGTCGGACATTTTTAAAAGTAGAGTAGAATATGTCAAAATGAAACACAAAAATGGTGAGAATTGGGGTATGAGGTCAAATTATTTAATAGAAGTAATATAACTGGCCTGGGCAGCTTTGCAAGTTGGACTTTTTAAGCTTGGACTTTTATGTTGTCAATAATTGTCGTGTGTACAAGAATCAATTTTAGACAAAACCAAATTCGGTGCCCTTGGAATACAAAACCAAAGTCGTCAAGACTAAAAAGCATTTTGCCTGTGCACTATTTTCGGGGTTCGAAAGTGACAAAACGATTTGCTTTTAATTTTAGATCGGCAATGATTCTTGGACTGGATCTTTCACACTAATGGCATTCACGCTCTACGTGTACTGTACTGTTTAAGCTCATTAATCATTATCTTCTTTTTAATGATATGTAACATGATTTGGTAGTTTAGTCGTCAAACCCTTAAACTTGAAATTACAAAATCACATAGCACCCATTAAAATAATTAATATTGAAATACTCTTTTGTTTGCATTAATGGTCTGTACATTGTATCTAGAATGGGCAGCACACAAGTTTCAAACAGCATGGCCATCCCTCCATGGATGCAATGCATTAACCCTTAAAAAGGATCCACAAAACCTATCGTTTTCATTATACATTTTTCACCGATTCACCCACCCACACAAACTTTATCTCATTAAACTCTGATCTGTCATCGTTCTTTATTTTGTTGTCTCCATTTTTTTTTATCAATTTGATTTAGCTGATATTGTTTTTCTCTTCATAATATTTTAACAACGTAATTGTACTGGTAGCTTAAGAAACAAAAAAAAGCGTTGTACGGAGTAAGATTTTTTGTTGAGTGGAAATCTAGCTTTTGTCTACGCTTTGAAATACTTAGAGGCACTATTTATGACGGTGGGGAGTTTGCTAACATTGATGCACTGAATGTAATGGCAGCAGCAGGATTTGGGTTACTCAAGAGATATCAATCTGATGAGATATCACCAGGGATAAGATATATATGTGGAGAAGACTGACTATGCAGAATATATATGGGCCACGTGCAAAGTCAAAATAAAATAAAATAAAACAATTCAGTGGAGTGGAGGGAATCCAGGATTTTGTGGCAATTAATTGTCTTTCTAAAAAGGGGTAGGTTCATACAAGGGCTTATCAAACAAACCCTTTCCAAGTCCAGGGGGATGGGAAAGAGCCCACATCAGAAGCCCGCGGGGAAATGAAAGAGAGACAATAGCTGCTTCTTGGTGGGGGTGGGGGTGGGGTTAGAGGGCCCACAATGTATGTCATCAAGGGGAGAATCTGGGTCACTGCCACCGATAATTTGTATTGTGCTGCTGCTACAACACATGATGGAGGAAGAAAAATGTCTTTTTGTTGTCTACAGTTGAGAAGTCAAGTGGACTCCATTGAAACTCTGCCTCAACTAACCCCTTGTGTTTCACTTCCCGATCTTTTTTCCATTATGCTTAAGCACTTAAGCTACAATGTCACAGGCTTAGGTTCCTTTGTTCAAGTCTTTGTACATATATTCCCTTTCTGTTAAAAAACACAAAGTGTAAGTTTCTAATGAGTATTGGATATTGCTTTAGACATTCAAAATGTTGTATTTACCGATGGAAATCAATAGATTCATATATAATCAGGGGCGGAGCCAGGATCCTGGGCCAGATTGGGCCTGTACAAAAAATATTTTTGAAAAAAATTTTACACGCAATTTTTTACACTAAAAATAAAGACATTTTTAAAATTTGGGCTGGGCTAGGTCCAGGTCTGGCCCACCCCTAGCTACGCCATTGTATATAACCAAGACCAAATAACATCACACACCAAATCATAATTATAAATTCATAGGAATTTATTTAGAGTATTTGTGAGAGATTGGGCGAAGATGATTTCATTGTTGCTCTAAGTAAATGGATGTGTAATTCCTTTTTAGACAAGTGATAGATGGAGTGGTAGCTGATGGAGTATATGGCCCAGGAACCTCCGGTCCACAGACTCCTACTACTCTATCACAGGCCCAACAAGCCCAAGAAGCGCAGGAGGCCCAAGATACAGCGGCCCAAGCTCAAAGTGGCCCACGGAACGCCCAGGGTAGCCTTCGACAATATGGCCGAAGGCTCCAAAACTCACAAAACAGCCATATTCTCAAGAGAGTTTTTTGCTTGCTTGAATTCCAAAGATAAAGTTATCTTCCCGTTGGAGTGTAGAGAACACCTTCATTAAATGCTTATACTGTTGATGTGACCGGTTGGTTCCCGCAAAGTAGTCAACTTACTATTTTGGGGTGTATTAAATATTATTCTCCCGAATTCTTCGGTCAATCATCTGTTTTAAATATGTCAACGAGTGGAGAGCATTAAATGAGCATTTAATGCGTGGTACTGTAGTTCTTCTGTTGAGTGGCTCCTAACCGTTAGGGAATATCCCGTTAGATTAACGACTTTGAGCAAAACTTCTAAGTGTAAGCAATTTTGGATTTACTTCTATAGAGGACAGTCTTCACAGGTGACTTGAGCAGTTTTGTCCATAAGGCAAGATAGAAGACCTGAGGTGCTCTGGTCCGTTGAATATTATATGTACTTACACATGAAAATTTCTAATACAATTTTTTAAAAGGGTACTCTAATATCCTAATTAGGCTAGCATCATCAAAATTTAAATAAAATTTATTCCTTACAACCATAGTAGGAAAAGAGTCCGTATCTAGGTAAGGTAAGAAAGAACATCCAAGAGGGACCCAGGGTGAGAAAACCTCCCAAAAGTCCTTCCCAAATCTTCCCTCTCCTATTTGAGCTTGCTGTCCGTACCAATGGGGGGAGCTGTCCGTACCAACGGTCAAATGGAGGAGTGTACGAATGGGGCTGTTGGAGCTAAGATTAGACTGGGAGTGCGCCTAGGGAAGACGATTATTATCACCCCATATCCATCATCATCTTAGCTCAAAAGGTTCAAAAGGGATATACAAAAATGTTTTTCGTAGGTGGATAGTGTTTGTGCGACCAAATCGTTCAAGAACTACCTAAGACTATGGATTTGGAGCTAAAAAAAATTAAAGATAATACACCCCTAGAGGAAGGGAATGTATTACAGATTTACGGTTAATAAATATGCAAGCTCAAAACACACAAATCAAAGGTAGAAATCCAAGGAACGAAATGTGGGTTGAGGAAGAAGATGATGTACGGATATTTAGTAGAGAGAGGCTGGAGCGAAAGGATATTGCGTTGGTTTAAAAAAAAAAAAATTCCAGATTAGGGGAAGATTTGCGTTGGTTTCAAAATATTAGGGGAAGACTACCTGAACCGAATTTCAAATCCCAGATTGTATTTACGTTAAAAATTCTCTATTTACGCTGAAAACGCAAACTCACATAGTTCAGGCCTAGTATTTGTGACACTAGGCCCCCCCGGAGTGTGATAAATGTCAGGTAACATTTACCAAATTTATATTAAAAGAAGTTTAACAGTATGGATTACAAAAGACCAAAGAAGTGGGGAATGGTTGATTTTTAACAAAAACCAGGCCCAAATCGAGCAAGAAGAAAGAAAAAAAGGTTGGGGACCATTTAATGTAAATGTAAATAAAAATAAAAGAGAGTGGGCTTTCTGCTGGGTCCTGTGGCCCATCAATCCTGCAAGCGTCCAAAGAGGAGGATTAAATGTTTAGAAACATAAGAGCATCTCCCATGGGGATGTCTATTGTCTTACACACTCTTACGAATGGGTCCCATTTTTTATCTCACAAATTTTATGTGTAGGACCTACATATTTCCATATTTATTTTCATTTTCATTTTTTTATGTCACTTCTAACCCATTTTTCATCCACTTTTGCTCCTCGATTCCATGTAATGTCTATTTGTGGACATTGTCATAGACGTTGTCTACAATTTACTCCTATCTCTCTATTCCTTTTCATTTTTCCATACATAACACTTTCTCCATATTAAATTAAAATAATTATCATATCTCTATCTCTCTCCTATGCCATGTAGAATAGACTTTACTCCAATCCACTACCACATTGGAGATGATCTAATATTCCAAGCCAAAAAGATGTCATATGTCAAGATCTAGGGTTCGTAGGGGAGTAGGAGAGAGAGAGAGGGGGGGGGGGGGGGGCTTTTACGGCTGCCATGCTTCATGTTCCCCATTTCAAAAAAATCGGCCAGTCATCCAGCATCTCGGAAGTAAGTGACTTCCTCCTTGTCTTCCTTATAAGCTTTCTTAGCCCTAGGTGGTAGTTCACTGTTTGGGTCAGATTCTTTATAAGTAACTTACCAAAAATAGTGTAAAGTCCCTCAGTAAGGACTTTCAGTCTATCAGCTTCATTTTGAAACTTAAAGAAAACCCAACCCTTATAATGGGGCTGAACAATACAATTTACCCCCCATTTCTCTTTTAATTCGTGGACATCCTTTATTCCCGGGAAACTACATGTGAAGCATCCAACAAGACAATATCCCACACCTCAATCATGGACGGCATAACCCTATCAGCATTGTTACGACTCAATTTACAATGAATTTAGTATAAGGTACAAATTAACTTGAAATTCACACACATTTCTGATTTCACTCTGAACACGTGTAGGAATTTATTGGATCATATATTGTTGTATTTAAATCCATTTAAAGTGTTTTCTTCCTAATTGGAACGATCTTATCGAGCTCTAAAACTTGTCTCAGGTGTCGGGTTCAAAATATTAGGGGAAGACTACCCAATGAACCGAATTTCAAATATCAGACCGTATCTACTCTAAAAATACTCTATTTACGCTGAAAAATGCTAATCACAGAGTTCGGGCTTGCTATTTGTGACACTCATATCTTGCTATGTAATCTTTCGTTTCATGCTTATTATATCTCATTGGAAAGATCATTTTGAATTCTAAAGCTAATGTTCCGACTCAATTTACAATGCATTAAGTATAAGGTACAGATTAACCTTAAATTCACAAACATTTCTGATTTCACTCCGAACACGTGTAGAAATTGATGTGATCATATCATGCTATATTTAGTTCCGTTTAAAGAGTTTTCTATCTCATTGGAAAGATCTTTTCAAGTTCTGAAACTTGTCTTCAGGCATCGTTTTCAAAATATTACGGAAAGACTACCTAATGAACCGAATTTGACATCCGAGACTGTATTTACGCTAAAAACGCTAAATCAAAGAGTTCAAACTTAGTATCTTTGACAATCATATCATGTTGTATGTTCTTCCGTTTCAAGCGTATTAAATCTCGTTGGAAAGATCATTTAGCGTTCTAAAGCTATTGTTATGACTTAATTTACAATGTATTAAGTATAAGGTACAGATTAACCTGAAACTCACAATCATTTCCGATTTGACTTCGAGCACGTTTAGAAACTGATCTGATCATATCTTGCAATTTTTAGTTCCGTTTAAAGCGTTTTCTATCTTGTTGGAAAGATCTTATTGAGTTCGAAAACTCGTCTTTAAATCCATTTAAAGTGTTTTCTTCCTAATTGGAACGATCTTATCGAGCTCTGAAACTTGTCTTCAGGCGTCGGGTTCAAAATATTAGGGGAAGACTACCTAATGAACCGAATTTCAAATCTCAGACTGTATCTACGCTAAAAATACTCTATTTATGCTGAAAAAATGCTAAATCACAGAGTTCAGGCTTGATATTTGTGACACTCATATCTTGCTATATAATCTTTCGTTTCATGCTTATTATATTCATTGGAAAGATCATTTTGAATTCTAAAGCTATTGTTCCGACTCAATTTACAATGCATTAAGTATAAGGTATAGATCAACCTTAAATTCACAAACATTTCCGATTTCACTCCGAACACGTGTAGAAATTGATGTGATCATATCTTGCTATATTTAGTTCTGTTTAAAGAGTTTTCTATCTCGTTGGAAAGATCTTTTCATGTTCTAAAACTCGTCTTCAAGCATCGTTTTCAAAATATTACGAAAAGACTACCTAATGAACCGAATTTTACATCCGAGACTGTATTTACGCTAAAAACGTTAAATCAAAGAGTTCAAACTTAGTATTTGTGACAATCATATCATGTTGTATGTTCTTCCGTTTCAAGCGTATTATATCTCGTTGGAAAGATCATTTAGAGTTCTAAAGCTATTATTATGACTGAATTTACAATGTATTAATTATAAGGTGCAAATTAACCTGAAACTCAAAATCATTTCCGATTTGACTTCGAGCACGTTTAGAAATTGATCTGATCATATCTTGCTATTTTTAGTTCCGTATAAAGCGTTTTGTATCTCATTGGAAAGATCTTATCGGGTTCGAAAACTCGTCTTTAGACGTTGGTTTCAAAATATTAGGGGAAGAATACCTAATGAACCGAATTTCTAATCTCGGATTTTATTTACGTTAATAATGCTCTACTTACGCTTAAAACTAACGCTAAATCACGGAATTCAGGCTTGGCATTTGTGACACTCATATCTTTTTGTATGTTCTTCCATTTCAAGCGTATTATGTCTCATTGGAAAGATCATTTAGAGTTCTAAAGCTATTAATATGTCTCACTTTACAATGTATCAAGTATAAGGTACAGATTAATCTAAAATTTACAAACATTTCCGATTTCACTCCGAACACGTTTAGAAATTGATTTGGTCATATCTTGTTG